TTAAAGAAAATAAAAGATAATAAAGCCGTTTATAAAATATGACGAAGAAGAAGTAAGAAAAATAAAAGAAGAAATAGAAAAAAAAAAGACGGGAAGAAGAAAAAGAAAAGAAAACGGAAGAAAAAGTAGGTTGCTTAAAAAAAAAGAAAAAAAAAGAATAATATTGTTAAAAAAAAGAAACTCAAGTAAGGAAAGGAAAAAAAAATTAAGAAATGAGATCGATAAAAAAGAAAGCAGAAAATGAGGAAGAAAGGCGGGAACTTAAAAAAAAGTAGAATGAAATATAAAGAAAAGAGTAAAAGAAGGTAAAAAATGAAGAAAGAATAAAAATGGAAAACGAAAAGAACGAAGAAAAAAGTAAGAATTAAGAAGACGTATATGAAGGAGAAAATTTTTGAAGGAAAAAATTTATTTATCATTTAGAAGTATTATTAAATTAAAACGACAGAAAAGAAAAAATATTGATGAGAAATAGAAAGAAGAAGAAGAAGAAGAAGAAGAAGAAGAAGAAGAAGAAGAAGAAGAAGAAGAAGAAGAAGAAGAAGAACGCGGAGGCGCTGGCGGTGGGGACGGGATACCAGCCGTTGTCCTGAAGAAATGTGCTCCTGATCTTGTCTCCTGTCCTCTCCAAACTATATAACTACTGCCTCAACGACTCTTACTTTCCGGCCTGTTGGAAGTCCTCATCTGTTGTACCTGCCATTAAGAATTCTGGAGACCCTTCTAACCCATCTAACTACCATCCTATCAGTTTCCTACCACTCTTTGACAAAGTCTTCGAAGCTTTAATCAACAAAGTGGTTAAATACCTTATTTTCCATGATCTGCTCTCAGAGAGGCAATATCTTTTCCGATATGCCCGATCTATCGCTGATGTGCTCATGGCCATAACTGAATGTGTTTTACCAAGCACTTCGCAATAACGGAGAAACTCGAGCTGTTGCTCTAGATATCCCTAAAGCGTTTGATAGGTCTTGTCATGCCGGCCTTCTTCATAAGCTTCAGGGAAACGGAATTTCAGGACGATTATTTAATTTAATACAACACTTCCTGTCAAACCTTGTAATAAAGGGCGTCCTAAACGGATTCTCCTCCAGTTCCTTTCTCACGAACGCAGGTGTTCCCCAAGGCTCTATACTGGATCCTACACTGTTTCTGATCTTCATTAACGATCTCCCCGATGTCATCATTTCCCAAGTAGGTGTCTGTGCAGACGATATCACTATTTACTCCTGCCTCAAAAGCAAATCTGGTATCGCTGACAGAACTAACCTGGCCGTTGGTCTCGAAAATGTCCTCCAGTCTCTGGTTGACTGGGGCAAGAAATGGCTGGTAAACTTTAATGCCTCAAAAACAAAAGTGCTTTCTTTTACCTATCACGGAGACACCCCTGTTCGACTCCACGAGGGTGCCTTTCTGCACCTGCTTGGTCTCACACTGTCCACTGACCTGAAGTAAAACAAATGCAGTGAATCAATAGTTTCATCTACCGCAAGGAAAGTTGGTTCTATGTGTCGTACCAGAAAGTTTTTTCTCGTCCAAGTCCATTCTTCAAATTTTTAAATCAACCATTTGCCCTTGCATGGAATACTGCAAGAATATGGTCTGGAGCCCCAGCTGTTCGTCTCAAGGTCCTCGACAAAATCCAGAGACGGATATGCAATGTGATTAGTCCTGATCTGGCATATCGCCTATAATCACTTTCTCACCGACGTGTCATCGCTTCCCTCTGTCTTTTCTACAAATATTTTCATGGCAACAGCTCTGACAAGCTACTTTCGCTAGTACCATAACTGTATGAATTTAAGCTTGCTACTAGGTTGGCATCTCAGTCCCACCGTTTCACTGTCGAAACTGTTAAATACAGACGTCTCTTCTACTCTAATATCGTCATGTCTCGCACTTCCCGTTTGTGGAACTCCCTTCCTCTCATTGCTTCCCTGATAGCTATAATAACCAAATATTCAAATGCAGAGTCAATCGACATATTCAGACGCCTTGATCTATTCTCCGTCATTCTCCTCACCCTTTTCTCTATCACGCCGCTTTACCTTTGCCCATCTTCTGTGTGATCCTTTGCGTGCTAGTGACACTACCGCCTTGTTTGGGTGAAATGCTTAAAAAAAAAAAAAAGAAGCTGAGATGTGATCATCACTATCACCCAGACGAAACATATAAGAGTCGGAGAGAGAGTATCAAATAACAATAATAATAATAATAATAATAATAATAATAATAATAATCAGCATCATTTCGAGTAGAAAAAAAGAGAAAAAGCACCAATCAATGGGAACTGAGGTTCCGAAGGAAAAACACACAAGAAAGAATAAACATTCAGAATGAATAGAAAATAAAATTAATTGCCACAAGAGCCAGTGAAGACTCCATGAAAAATGCAACATCCCGAAAAAAATATCTTGAAACGTGAATAGAAATTAGATGAAGATTTGCAATAATAATAATAATAATAATAATAATAATAAAACGATAATAAAAATAAATAAAAAAAGAAAGAAACCCAAAAAAAGATTTTCAATCAAGGAAAAAAGAAAAAAAAGAAAAGGTAAATTATTTCAAGTCAAAGATAAAAAAAAAAAAAAATTGACATTTCGCCATCGAGATGTCACTTCATAAATTTGTTTTGAAAACCGGAAATAAAATTAAACAGAAAAAATCAATAACAATAATAACCACCACCACAACAGCAACAACAACAATGATAATAATGTGAGACATGAAAAGATTTTAGTGCACCGCATGGTGAAAAATTGAATGAACATCACTCTGCACCAGTCACAGAAAACAACGAAATCACTATTGTTTTTTATTTTGAGACTTTACCAGTCACACTGTCAGACATATAAAACATAATAAATAGACAATAATTAAAACTAAAAAAATATATATATATATATATATATATATATATATATATATATATATATATATATATATATTTTATTTTTTTAATTATATATATTGTTTTTTTAGTCTATATATATATATATATATATATATATATATATATATATATATATTCATTCACTAGCTCAATCACCAAATCTACTTTTTCAAAATCTACCATGATTCTAACTGTAGAAGTCAAAACATAATTTACCTCCTAGAATGCACACTATGCCAGAAACAATATGTGTAGGAAAATCTGAATGGCCCTTTTAACTACAGAATTAATAATTATCGTAACGAATTAAATCGACTCCCTATGAACAGTTATTACCTGTAGAACAACATTTCCGCCTAGAGAAACACGATTTCAAAACCCATGCCAGATTCACTATAATTGAGAGAATAGAAAGTTCAGAGCAGATAACATTAGAAAGATTTTTAGAGTCCCATGAAAATAAGTGGATACAACGTCTAAAAACACAATACCCAGCCGGGCTAAATCACAAATTTAACAACATATAATGGTAACAATCAACAAATCAAAACCCACCCACATTTCTCACCCCACAAGACAGACATGCTTTAAGGAGGAATGGAGGCCTCCATTTATACACTCACCCACACGATTATACACACGTACACACACCATACTCACTCACTCCCTAATGAGCCAAATGATACACACACCTACAGCAATACACACACTTACACATATCATACTCACTCACCCCTAGGAACCAAATAACACACACACAAACACTAAACAGAGACACATCCCCTCACCAGGTCCAATAAAACTGTCAAACTGACCAGAGAATTCAGGATAAAATGTATCTTATCCAGTTCTTATCTCAAATAACAACTAAAAGAGACTGTTTGACCAACACAAGGAATGGTAAAAGATTCATGTGAAAAGATAAAAAATAAAAAAACAAATGAAAACTACAGACAAAAGTTCATTTTCTCCAACAAAAAAGACATCTATTTCTGTAGTTCCTTGCTAACAGCAAGCAGAAATATTTCGCCTCCCTGATGATGGCCATTTCGGTCAGGCTTAGCTGAGGAATTTAAATGGAATAATAATAATAATAATAAAAAACGAAAGAATATTAATCTACAACAGTATGTGTCTAATGATTTTAATTTTTAATTTTTAATTTTCTTATTGTTCAATATATATATATATATATATATATATATATATATATATATATATATATATATTGTTTTTAGTCTTTAATTATATATATTGTTTTTAGTCTATATATATATATATATATATATATATATATATATATATATATATAGTGTAACCTGGATATAAAGAGACGGATATAAGAGAAACCCGGATATAAGAGATATTTTCTCTGGTCCCAACTTAGAGCAAATAGACCAAACCCGGATACAAGAGAAACCCGGATATAAGAGAAACCCGGATATAAGAGAGATTTTTCTCTGGTCCCAAATTAGAGCAATAGACCAAACCCAGATACAAGAGAAACCCGGATATAAGAAACTTCTTCTCCGGTCCCGACAACTCTCTTATATCCGGGTTACACTATATATATATATATATATATATATATATATATATATATATACCCAAGTATAGGATTGGTCTATACGGAATAAATTCCAATAACCAAAAAATTCTATTCTTAAAAGAGTGCTCAATACAGAATAGAGGAAATATAACTTATTCGAAGACAGTAAAAATAGATTCAAATGTAGAACATACATTCAACACCATCACTTGATAAGACACCAAAAGTGTTGAAACAAAATGGCTATTTTTGTAGTGATTTTATAACATATTTACTTTATAAATTTCGAATATACTTTATAATTTTCGAAACCGACATAAACAAGGCATATATATATATATATATATATATATATATATATATATATATAGATAGAGAGAGAGAGAGAGAGAGAGAGAGAGAGAGAGAGAGAGAGAGAGTGGGGGCACGGTTGAGTAATGGTTAGCGGCTTGGATTGGGGAATCCTCGGGCCGAGTTCGAATTCCAGTCGAATCCATTACATTCACTTACGTGCTAATACCCTTGGGAAAGGTATGAATCCTCTTCTTCTCCCTCCAGCTATGGGTAAATAACAGTACAGATCAGGTTCTATAGCCTTGGATGGCAACTGGTCTGAATTCAAAAAAACGCGGAGGGTTGTTTGGGGACCTTGTGGCACATAGTGCACCAGATCTCTGTATTCGGCCCCTCAAGAAAAAAGTTTAGATGGTACCCCACAAAAACATCACCACTATAATGAAATCTCATGTGCTGATGGGCTGTTGGTTCCTAGGAACTGATCTGATTGGCCTTCACACGTTAAATTCGACAGGAGAGTCGAGTATATATATATATTAAAGAAAAAGAGAGGTGCCGCAAACGTTTTTGGTTGTAATGGATTTATTAAGAAAAAAAATATTATGCTTTGTTTTTACATAATTTTACGACACGGATTTCTGGTCTCGCGACCGTCTTCAGGTAAAAGTGGAGATTTCCACATATTATTAAAAATAATTAATTTTTTTCATGTTCAATGTTTCGATATGAGACATTCTCTGTTTAAATCCGAATTTCTTTCTTGAATTGGCAATGAAGAGTTCTGCGCGAAGGGTCATAAACAATTAAGGTTGGTCCATATATATATATATATATATATATA